TGAGTACCATTTATGTACCCATTTGAATATTCATTTAGGTACCTATTTAAGTATCCATATCTATATCATTCTTGGTACTTCTTTAATCATTAATTGATGTATTCATTTAGATACTTATTTGAGTATCATGTACATATGTACCTATTTTATTATTCATTTAGGAACTCACTTTTGGCCCAATTTATGTATTCATTCAAATATCTTTTATATGCCCATTTAGACTACGTATCGCAGTTCCTATTTATCTGTCCCTCACGCATGCATTCGCCATTGTATTTCCGCATTCACCTACTACTACGGGTACGTCTAAGTACCCGTTTGTCTCACCTGAAGGCAAAAGTATACGGTCCCAGCCGTGAAACAGGTCATCGCCCCGATCATGTGAGCCGCGACGACGCGGGCTTCTTGAAAATTAGCCAGAATATCTAGACCGAAGCACGCCAGAGCGCCGCACCATGCCGTCACAACAACGATCCTTCGGCTAACCAGGTCGCTGCCCCTTTCGAATTGCCATTGAGACACTTGCCGATGTCTGATGTACACGCAACAGGCAACTGAAACGACCACACATAAACTGCATCATTCTTTTGAGGTTCCCATGTGGACTCTAGCCGTAATATTCGTGACGAAAAACTTATCGAAATTTACGGAGCAGCGCGGCTATATTAAGGAACTGGGCAAATATACACGACTCCGGCGACAGGGTGCCCGTTTCCGATATGTAAGGGAATCCTGGCACCACGTGCTCCCACTGGACGGAAATAGTATATCTGAAATGCGATAAATGAGTAAACTGAGGAGCGTAGAGCGTCGTTCCAGAAGGTTCATCGTATTAAATAGCTTTGGCCGGTTATTCTTTGTTTAAAGTATCGGTCAGAATTTTTATATGAATATACACACCCCCTGTTCGTGAATATGTAGACACTGGACACTTGATGAATCATTCATATACAACGTCAAGTGTTACTATACAGGGTGTCCCAGCCTTAGTGATGCAGCGGTCTAAGTCCAAAACTATCGGCTGAATGCAAAATTTCAAATATCGAAATTGCATGGTAAAGTGGGGCTCACGTTTCAGCGAGAAGAAATTTTTGTTAACTTTGTTGTTCAACGAGATATGATGGTTAAGTATCGTTTTTCAAATGGAACTATATATTTTTTTTTTACACAATGCGATAGTACTTTTCAAAACGAATTCACTAAGGTTGGGACACCCTGTATAATTTTTTGTTACTTTATCAAATCTCATAGAGAAACTATAGTAATAAGTGTCTTAACATCTGATAAGTATTTATAGCGAGGTATTACAAAATTAATAACAAAAAAAACTTGTATGAAATTTCCTTAAAAAAAGATGCACCAACGCATGACTGTTGCATTTATTATTTCAAAACGTGGTTAGCATTAACCCAAATTTCGTTTCATATTACTTTTCTCATCGATTCTCTACTCGCAAAACACCCGCTTTGAATAAATGACCATTTAAATCGCGAGCCACGCAATCGCGTTTTTACATTGAAACTAACGTTATCTACAGAATAACCAACGTCCCCAACGGTGGCGCAAACGAGTCGGATTAATCATGATTTACATCATGGTATCGGAAACAACGACAGCCCCGCCGTTGTCGACCTTGATCGATCCGCGAATCGATCGATGGCCATCGATTCTTGATGCTCCGATTACGGTTCCATTTACATCGCGAGTCAGTCGCCATCGAAGGATCCATTAACGTCGCTCGGTTCGTTTAAACCTTGACGGACGTATGTCGCCTCATACCTGACATTGCCATTCTTTTTACCAAAGAAAATAGTTTCAGTAGTTTTTGAATAGCAAACAAAAATACGAAAACGTATTTTTAGTACAAAGAACGTTAATTCCATTTCATAAAGAAAGTATTCTTTTTTTTGTGTCAAGTAGCGCCAATGCAACATTTCTGTAAAATCTGAAGTTTCGACATCCATCAAGGGTTAAAATCTCAAAACGATTTCGACGTGTCCGACGTGTCTCGAAACGAAGTAGAAAGGTTCGTCAGGTCCACCTCGTCGGACTTACGTAATCAGAAACGTCACTGGAATCAGGATGAACAGACTCAGCGGGATAACGTGCAGCTTTCCGTAAGGCATCCTCGACTGGTTGATCCTGGAGTGCTGAAAGAAACGTTTCTCTTATTCAGAGACACTGCCATGTTTTGGGATAAGCCCTGGTGTTGTCTTAAGCCTCGTTAGCAAGAGAAAACCCAAGAAACCTTGCAACTCAAGAGACTGCAGTAACGAGAGAAGAGACTTGGGTACTCGACTTTGATGATTCGAATAATGAGAAAGAGTCATTATTAAAGAAGATCCTCTTCATTCTTTTACCAGTAGAATTCTCTATATTTAACTGTGTATGGTCCAATAGATACTCGCAATAGAGAATAAAAGTAAATTAATTAAAGAATGAATCCTCAAATCATATCTAAGTTGTTTTCTATAATCGACATGACCAATTGTACCAACATTTTTTTAAAGTTTAGCGATAGTTGCGGACAATGTTGTTTTCCCATGATCAACACGACCAATTGTGAGATCATATCTAAGTGTTCCCTGTAATAATCCAAAGGATTTGATCATTCATCATCGTCTAACCGAATACTACTTGGATCTATCGATGGAAAGAGTCTACCAGGATCAAACTAGGATAAACGTCTGATTCAGCAAAGCAGCTATAAAAGATGGACGAGTGATGAATCCAACAGTGCAACTCTAGAAGTAACATGAATATAAAGATACAACTTTCCTAGCGAGAAAGCGTTGATAAAAATTCCTAAGCCCTCTTTTTCTAAGAACGTCTCAAGATCTGTGACTTCGTTCGAAATCCACCAGTGGAACAGTGCAAGTGTAATCGCAAGCGTAATCGCAAAAGTAAGGCTACCCTCGCGAGAAAACGTAAACAAAAGGGCTTAAACGACTTCGACGAATCCTGCTTGTGCGAATATTAATCGGCCGTGTTATGGCTGCGAGTTTATCGTCCGACTTCGCTCGAAATCAAACGCTAATGTAACGGTCATCGTCGACTGATTGATTGCTTCTGGTGAAACACGCGTTCAAGGTACGAAGACCGTTCCGAGAAGCAGTGAAAGGTCGTATTCGCCTGTTGTCCCGCGGATATGAGCCGCGGTCGCTTTTAGCCTTTTCAAAGAAGTCTGACACCTTACCTCGAGGATTCGATCGGGTCGCTGGTATCGGTTTTTGCGAAACAAGGTGTCTGGGGCTACGCCAGGGGGGCACTTCGTCATGGGGCGCTTTGAGGCAACTGTCCGTCAGCGCTGCTAACATGCCTTTTGCTCTACGTAACCTGCCAATCGCTGATTAACGCGCTCGATTGCGTTCCACCGCAATTAACGCACCGCGTGATTCCGTTCTGGCCGCGGTTCGTTCCGTTTGGACGTTTCTAACGATAGAAGAGGACTCTTTCGATGCCCTGGCGTGCCTTGGACTGATCCTTCGCCTCGAGATCGCGAGGTTGACATTGAGGTGTCGCGACCTTCCAGGTATAGTTTGAGCACGGTAAGCGTTTCGAGTTTTGATGGAATTTTTAAGGGGCTGTACCCCTGAGTCCATTGCGAATAAGGTGAACCTTGGTCATTCTTTTTGTCATGCCTCTGTGGATTTTTGTGTTTTTTAAAGGGAGAATTTAAGAATCATAGATGATTTCATTTTATATTCGTTCATAACAGAGAAACTGTAACATTTATAACAAAAAACCTATGGCAAAGATTAGATTATTTTATCGAGGACATCTATGCAAAAGTGCAATTCAGTTACTATTTTTAGAAACATCCTGTTTTTCATTAAAATTTTCAGGAAATCAAACAGAATACAGCATACATACTCTTCCTAAACACTAAATTATTTCAGAAACTTATAAAAAGACATCTATAGACTTTTCCAGATAGATTGGAATAATTCTTCAGCGTCGAAGAGGTAAGAGTTAAACCTCAAGTTTACTGTAAACTGCAATGTTTAAAATAGAAAATATTTTAACAGAATTCACATGTTAATTATGGGAGTATTGGTCGACGAGCTTCGCGTGGGTGTAATGGTCGAATCGTGACTAAGTCGAATTAGAATTTATCGATAAAGTGTTGCTAGTGTACAGCTGGTCGCGTTCGATTATTCTCGCATTCCAGCGGCCGTAATAAACGTTCGACTGCTGGCTAACAAGAGTTCGTGATTAAAATTGCATTATGGGTATAACGCGCATTGATAACGTAAGGTTATATTCGGATACGTTGCCTCGTAAATTAAATCAATTTATTTCAATGAACCTTGTGCTATTGTAATTGCGTAAAAAATATTTTTTGAAATACATTTTTATTTTTTTACATTGTTCTTGAATATATCATGGATGTTCATGGTGATTAAAATTGAGGATTCTATTTTATAATTACATATAAAATTTATTTTCAATTGTGAAATTATTTTATACAGTCATATTGATAGAAGAAATTTTAATACATTTAATAAATTTAATAAATTATTTCAATGAATTTAAATAATTGAATGTTCATACCTGATAATTCGTAGCTAGACGTTGCTATTTTTCCACTTGTTTCCTAGTTCATAATGTTATTAGCCAATTACGTCTAGCAATAAGTAATTGACAGGAAGTTTGCCTGGAATACTTACGAATAATGGCTCTGGAAAGTCGTAAACCGAAATTAACGCTACATTAAAATAGCTCCTGGTAAAAGTGGGCTGTCGGCGATGTCTCAGCTCCATCGGAGCAATTGCCAGGGAATGTACAGGCACAAAGTAGGTTAACGAAGAAAAACATAATTGGGTTTCAGGAATTTCATACGCATACATGCGTTTAATTGATCTGGTAAATTAGTTGTTTCTCTAACTCACGAGAATTGAATTAAATTCATCAATGATATTTAACATTTTTATGTTGATTTATCCATTAATTTCTTAAGTTAAAAATAACACGCAAAGAGGGAAAGGTAGAAGGAAGAATTTGGTAAAATCACAATTTTGTATTAACAACGTTACAGTATTACAATATAGGCAGTTTGTTCGGTGTTGCTCGACTTGCTGTATTTCGCGGAATAAACGGTAATTCGTAAATTATTGTTCCTTGTACACACATTCGTTTACACGGTCGACTAGTTGTCTCGCGTTATCGTCTCGATAGCGATGATACGACGAACGCAACTGAAAATGTTGCTCGTTTAACATCCTGCGAACACGGGGCACCTTTAATTAAAAATATTTCGCGACTGGATCGTTCGATGAAAATATCTTCAACATCATCTTTGTTATCACCGCTCTTCGTATTCAATATTTTCCAAAATATCATCTCGGTGCGAAAGAATAAAATTATTTTCGCGCTAACTCAACCGCAAGAAATTGCAATCTCTTTTTACTTTAATACTAATTCCTTCTTTTAGAAATTTATTTTAGAATCGAATTTAGTTGGAAATTCATCGCGCTCGACTAATCCGGAGCTCCTTAATCGATAATAATCTAGATTGCATTACCACACGCATGGATACACGTTTGTCATCACGTATAGAAGCGAGTGTCTATGTACATGACATGCGTATGTAATTTCTAATATAAATAGTTTGTTAAATAAATAGTTATCGTTATCTCTGGGCTCTTGTACCGTTCGCGGCTCGCTCGTTCCCCGAAGAGGAACGTTTGCTCGTCGAAAAGCTCTCAAAACGTCTCGAACGACGGTACAAAGATAAATTCTTGTCTTCTGGCTATATATTTGCATCGTTATACTATACCACTTATCGCTGCGTACGAGCTCCGATTGGACTAGTTTCAATACCTTTAGCTAGCTTCGCCTACGTGTAAGCATCGACCTTTAGTTCAACCGATTTCTCCTCGATGGACACTCCAGGTCACGGTTTCTAGTTTTATACATCGACAGGAATTAAACGATCACCATTCGCCACTCTAATTTATTCCAGTGAATCTCCAGAATTCAATTACAAATTACAAGGCTCATTAAAAATTGCTTTTCAATTTTTAACTGCTGGTCTCGAGTAGAGATTTGCATGTTTCAGTGTTGGCAAGGATATCGATGTAGATGATTGTGTTAAAAATTAGGTTTTCGGTTCAGTGGATTTCACTTCTTTTATTATCTTATTTCTTTGATTGGTATTCGTTCCTCCTTCGACTTCTAATCGATAAACCTCCTAGCTATTGCTGATATTGCAGATCATGACATTTTTATTTAATTTTTGAATATATTTATCAGCGTAATTATCCCGAAAAAATTTGTGAAATGAACTTAGAACAGTGGCTTTTTCTTGCGGATGAATCTGAAGAATTGTAAACCTCTGGATTTGATCTCTATAAAAATACGGAGTTTCTAGGTTTTCGTGGGAATAGGTGATCGTTTAACTTGTGCATCTACGCGTGGCAGTGAACTGGCACGAAGCGTAAACAAATACGCCGACGGCGAGTCGAGGTTACTCCCCTGTGGACGGAACGTTTCCGTGGTTCCTCTCGTCGAAAGTCGACGTTATTGTCCTTAATTGCACCGCGAATTAAGCGACCCCTACTGGAATCTCGCGCTCCTATCGAGCGCCGAACGCTGTACAGATTAGCGTGCCATTGTTCGCCGACTATCGCTATTACGACTTCTAACGGTACCTTAAATCAAAAAAGGAACAACCAAGACGAATTCTCGAAGGCAGTGCAATGATAAGAAAAATCAGTTCCTCGTTACTCCCAAAACACAAGTGGCACTGTTAGTACGAGTCTTTAATTTATACTGTATTAATAATTGCACAATAATATCCTTTATTTTTGTACTATTGCGATCGACTGTTTCGAAAATCAATTCGTTGGCCATGAATTTAAATTAGGTTGTACTTGGGGGTCGTTAACCTCGCCCTTTCACCCTGCTCGATACAGTTCTTGTATTTACATTTTGTTTCTGGAGAACAAGGTTAATAAAAAAGTGAATTCGTGGCTCTTTACGGAGTACTGGGTTGTACCATAATTATTTGCTATTTTTTTTTTTTTTTAATCAAATGAAGGGATAAAATTTTTAAATGAATTTGAGTGTCACATATCGTTGTAAAAGTTTACAGGTCAAGCTATTCATTCACTGTTGGCAGGAAATCGTATGTGGATCAAAGAATCAAGCGAGGCAATCGAAGGCACATGTGCCAACGATCGCCAAGGTTCGGAGCACATGTGCCTCCGCTTTGTAATCAATATGTTATTCGATTACACTTAGAAAACAACGAATATTTATGGTACAGCACAATGTAGTTATCGATCCATACATTGACTATTTTCCTCGAGTGTCGTTAGATCTTGTGGATCCGTTATTCAATCTCGATCGTGTTACGCGCTGGCTTCGTCGATCACTGTGATCACCCTATTACTAGGAGCAACATTTGCTGCGTGCCATTTCGGTTTGGCTTCTTCGATCGTCGGTTGAACTCCCACTGCTCGTTCGAAATTCGTTCGACTACCTTTCGATCGCGCCAGGGACCATCTGCGACCTCGACGATCGGTGATGATCGGCATCTCGGCGATCAGATTATTCTCGAACTCCGAGAGCATCAGATAGTTCTCGACCTTGTTGCACGAGGTTATGCAATCGCCTATGTAATCGAGATCCTCGAGCATGTTGTCCGGGAGATCCATGTCGGCGATCCCCTCCTCGGAGATGCAGGTCAGTTCAGGTTTCTCAGGGGCGATCGCGTCGATCATCTCACCTAAGATGAGATTTAATCATTATGATCCTTTACTGAATTAGTTTGATTCTGGTTGCAACATCAAGATTGATGCTTTTGAATTTTTAAATAGAAAGAAGTAAAAGGGGATTGTAAGAAAGAGAGGGTTGGTAACGAATACACGAAGACGAAGAAGGTTAGAGATTGTATAGAGAATATCTGTACTCGACTATTTTGTGTCAAATTAGGTCACCTTTGAGGTTAATTTAAAATATCAAGTTGTGCAAAAAGTTCGTTTGGATTTTAACGGACAAACAAACAGTGATTTTTCTCAGACAACAAAATATATTTTCTCTATAAATTTTAATGTAATTGTATCGTAATGTAAATTCATGATTCTGCGTTTGTAAAGGTCCTCCTCAAGTTAGAAACTCTCGTAACTGGAGAGAAAAATCCATTACCACAAATCGAACCAAGTTTTTGGCCAACGAAACACTTCTAAAAATTATTTCAAGGATTTATCGATGACTAAAAATAGATACATGTATTATTATATCAGTATAATCGAAATTCAATATATGAACAAGACTAGTGAACCTGACAGTGGAAATAAAATTGCATTATTTTAATCAAAACGTGGGAGGAATGTGTAGCAATTTTTCTAGAAAATTAATATTATATAATAATGAACCTGGTGGTGGTGAAATATCCGTGCCAAGAACGAGCGCAGCCGCGGCAGCCCCAGCTGCTGCGACGTGTGGAACGTCGTTTTCCGGTTCCTGGCTGAACGACAGTCGTCGACGTTGCGGGCAAGCGTCCGAAATGCAGAGATGCTTGGTCCCGTTGGACCTGGTGTGTTTGTGCCTCGACAAATTCCTTCTATGAAGATCTATGAAAAATAGGGTGAAACTGCCGACGAGAACGCAGGTGGAGCTGAAATAGTAACCAGCCTTTCCGCCGCAGCCGACGTTCATGTATCCTGGAAAATTTATGGTTGCCCGGTATTTTTTCATATTCGTTGGGTCTGCTTCTGGTTTCGTACGAGCTACCGCGGTACATTGGTTGACAAATTGGGTAACGAAGTGGTATATTATGAAATACGTAAAACATATTTCCTTCACTTTTTTTTTGTCACACGTGAAACGAATTAAAAATATTAATTTCAATTAATTTATATCGATTTCTATTATGTTTTATTAATTTCTTTTTTGTTGTTGTAGTAACCAATGCTTAATTACCAGAAATGGGAACACCGATTGCAATTGGTATGGCTTGAGAGCATTGCACAAAACCCCAAGTTCTTGCAAAGTTCCTCGCCCTCACTCTCTCGTACGTGTACATTTTGAGGCTGTAGTGGTAGCCGCCACAGAAGATGCCTGTAGAAACACGTGCTCTATATTTTGTGTGTATCAAAACTATAAACTAATTGTAAAAGATCGAAAGGTAAGGAAAAACTTGGAAGAATTGTATAAAATCATTATCGAAGAGTGAAATTCCAGGGATTAAGATAAAATTCTAATGTGGAAGTTTATGTTTGATAAATATTTTGTGTATCCTCCACTTCTCGGTCGAATAACGATCTAAAAATGGCTCTGACGCACCAACGCCTTAATTACAGGGTCTGATGATACAAAAACTGTGGAAGAATTTTAAAAAATAATTATTGAAAAGTGAAATTCCAGGTATTAAGATAAAAATCTGACGTGGAAGTTTATGTTTGATAAATATTTTGTGTATCCTCCATTTCTTGGTCGAATAACAGTCTAAAATTGGCTCGGACGCATCAACGCCTCAATTATAGGGCCTGATGAAACAACGGCCTTGACATTGAACGAGAACCTGTTTCACCAATTCACGTTTATTAAGAAGGAACCATATTCTACCGTAAATCCAGGCAAACATGACGTATCCGTGATAATTCCCTTGAACAGCGGTGAGGGCCAGGATGCAGAGTCCGCAGACGAAGACTGCCGCCTGCGTCAGGTACTGACGCGCTATCCTGCATTCCACGCTGCGATGGACAACGAGAAGACCAAAGGCCACGCAACCTAGGGTCCAGGCAAGGCCCAGATACGCCTGGAGCAGAATCACCGTGTCGCCCAGACCTTCTTCCTCAGCCTGATGTGCCTGGAAATTAATTAGATCAATCAGAGGAACGTAGTGGAGTTTGAAGGTCGAAGTAAACCTTTGTCACATTTAACCCTTTAGTGTTTAACACTGGGAGAGGGAGGGTGTTTAACACGAGTCACGCAAAATTTGTTTATGCAAATTCATATTTTTACACACGATGAAAAAGAATTAAAATTTACATGAAAGAGTGTCTTATCTTCTATGTGGTATAAAATGTATATTATTCTTGCTGATGTATATACTTTTTTCCATTTATTAAGGTGCTGAATATTTAAGTGATTTTTAATACATTTTGTAGTTGTCATAAATTCAATTTCATTCCAATTGGTTTCGAACCTAAAGTGGAACTTCGGTGGAGCCTAGATCCACAATACCTCGTTTCACAAAATCTTTCAAACATTTACAATCTCCAATTACATTCTGTGACTCGATACGCGACTCAATAACTCAACACTTATCAAATAAACCCAAGACGGATCAAAGTGCACAATATTCTATTTTTGTAAATGTTTCTACATACTCTACCAAACCACACCCACCTGTTTTCAAGATAGAAATATCAAGGTTCGTTTGAATTTTATTATGGACGTTTTACCAAGTAAAATATCGGCGTGTTGATCCCAAAGGCGGATATTCCAGTGGACACTAGCAGTATCCTAACGGTCTTGCTCTTCAGCGTGCTGAAGTCGAAGAACGGCGGCCTGTCGTCCGTCTTGTTCTTGTCCTTGATCTTGCGCTTTTGATTTTTCAGGTGAAGAATCGCTCTGCGCTGGGGATGATACAGGGACGCGCTTCGATAAAAAGTGCCCAAAATAAAAGTGAGGAAAACCACGCCTGTCACCGCCTGAAGACCCAAGCGCCAACCAATCTTGCTGGAAGGAGAAGCAAGTGAAAATTTTACTGTTTTCATCTTCGGATTGTTGCAGTGAAAAATCGCAATTAATTCATATTTCTAATAGGATTAAACGAGAGGTAAAAAATGTAGATAACGAGTATGCGAGTGACTCGGGATTACGGAGAGTTAATAAATATTAGCAACGACATTGAACGCACGCTTTGAAATTAAGCTTCGCGATGTAATCAGAGTTTCAAAGTCTTGACGTGTACCTAATCGCTCCTTTTATGAACGCTGACATGACAGCGATACCAAGGCCACTTCCGGACACAATGAAAATCTCGACCAGCTCCCTTCTTCTCTTGAAATATTGCGCCACCATCAGAGTACTGCAATCCCTCGTCATGCCAACACCTATACCTGTTTAAAATAATCAAAGTTGGTCCATAAATTTCATGAAGAATATTTAAGACACGTCTTTCTCTTTTCTGTTTTTCTTCTGTTACAATAGGTTTGGGCCAACTCACCAACAACAGTCCCGTAGCTGAAGAACAGCTGATGGAACTGCGATGCGAACGAAGTGAAGAGACAACCAAGCGCAGTAACGAGTCCGCCCAAAACTGCAGTGAGCCTGGTGCTCTTTCTTCGACAAAACGCTATCGTCACAGGTGAAACCAGCAGGGCAACTCCTGTCGACATTGCACCTAGCCATCCTGCGAAAAAATAACGGGCTTTTAATTGTTTGAACGTCGAACGACAATGAGTTGACTTTTTCCCTTAGATAACACTTGATGTCTCGCATGAATGAAGGACAAGTAGTAGGCACGTGTATCTCATGCGGCATACCTATTGGGGTATCTTATACTGAATGTATCTATTATTCTCATTTAATAAACAGTATTTTATTAGAATAATTGTTTGTGCTTGTTTCAGAAAGTTATATACATGGCTTCAGGTATTTGCACAATTTTTTTTTTGAACAATCGACCTGCTGATTGATTTAATTTTGTGGTTATCCGTTATCGATCAATAAACTTATTATTATTATTATTATTCTATTCACAGTGTCATTTAATTTTTAGTATTCATTTGAAGCTTGGTTTTATAACATCCCTGCATCTCGTCCCTTATGGATTATTATTTTTGTTTTCATTTATTTTCTGTATTGTCTTGATAAATAAATACAGTGAAGGTTAATAAGTGTAAAATATTACAACAAGGGACTTTCCTAATGAAAACAGGAGATGACACATAAAAGTTTGCAAAGAACTCCTGTCTCGCGCCATTGATGACCGTGCTGGCGCCAGCTTTCCATTTCCTCTGGCATATTGTCTTCCGTTTCCCTGCTTTTCTGTGCTTTTGCTTATCTTGGGATCTGTGTATATATTTGCTCGACCGCGCATTTAAATTTATCATAAATATCTCGCAGAGGAATGTCTCGAGAATTTACAAATAACCATCGCCTTTACACGAATTAACAATTGTCTGACAAAGGTCTATCTTATCTCTGTTGCACTCCACTGCTGATGCGCATAACATTTTCCTCTCATAGATTTTCCATGACGAGGCAAGTGTTTTGATGTTCGATGAACCTTACAAATTGATCGCCAGCATGATGCAGCTCGCAGCTCCTTTCACCTTTAATAATGACAGGCAGATTTCCTCGAATAGTCCGTTCCTGATTGATGAGACTAGAACGATCGAAATGTGGACCACCTTAATCCTATGTTACGATTGAATACAATTCAAAACATGCACACAGTTTTCCTGAGACGTCATACAATCCAAATTTATTGATGGTAACGTTTTCAATCTTTTAATCAAGGTAGCAGGTTAAATATTTATGTTTCAGTCAAGAAAGCGTTAAGAAACCTTGATAATGAATTAAATCTTCTTTATAGATCCAACGTGGCTGTTTCTGTCCGTGCTCTCGTATCTAAAGTTGCCGAGAGCGATCGTTCCCGTCATCGTTCTCCCTCGACGCGCGTTTTCCACGATCGGTCTTCTCGAGACGCCTATTAATATTGGCAACGTTACTAAACAGACGTTGACTCTCGATCGAGGTTAAGACCGCTTTAATTACGGCTGCGACGAGCAAGCCGATTAGTCGGCTGCTCGCGATGGAGTCGAGTTGTTTAATTAATTTTCGCCGTTCCAGCGATCGCAGGCGCCGATGTCGAGTGGGATCACCGATAATTAAGTTTGAAGTGAAATAACAAATTCATCTCGCTATTTATGGCAAGTATTTACACCTTTATTATTAAGGGAGGGCAAAACCAGCTACCAGTAGTTATCGAGAGAAAATTTTGAAACTTTGTACTTTTATACAGTTTTTGACGCTGAATTCAATGGTGTAAACAAAAGAATGTTTAAACTATTTTTTCTTGCATTTTTAAAACAAAATCGAAAAATCCGTACTCTTGTTCGTTCGTTATTTTTTAAGGATTATTTTTTTTTAAAATTCATGTATAGTTCGAGATAGCTAGTGTTGGTCTCGGCGCCCTCTCTTAAATGCTTTACTTTGCCAATATTAACCACAAGTACTTGTTACAAGTAACTACTCCTCTTTTATATTTTTTAATTATGTCATCTCAACTTTGACTTCACTTCAACTTTGAAACACTCAATTTGAACGCAATTCGATTGAATTATTCTTTTCAAATTTACTCAAACACGAGTTCATTCTTAGTTTGATCGAATTATGAAGAGCTCAAAAATAATAAATGTTTGCAGATCGATGTTCCTGTAGAGTTTTTATTAAAATTTGATGGAATATGGTCACTGCAGTAGTTAAATAGAGTACCTAGGGTTTATCACGTGATCGCGCCGTAAACACTCTAGCGCGCAAATATTCAAATTAGAAAATCGGATCGTCGATCCTCGCATATCGTACCTACGTTGACTAGGGGTTGGCGGTATCGTTTCGTTCCCTCCAACAGCAGCCAGGATCCGACAGCCCCGTGAATTCCCGTGGAGAGAATTTGCACCATAACGCCGGTCACAACGACCACCCAACCCCAACCACTCTCCGGGTAGTAATGCTGTCTTATGGTACATCGTGCAATGTATCTACAGCACGCAATAAAAAAAAGTTTCCGATGGGAAAACTCCTGGCACGTATCAATTTATGGACGTTGGTCAACATTTCGTGTTGTCAGTGTGGCTCGATTTAAAACTGTTACTCGATTATCGCTTGGGGAACCAAGATTCTAATAAAATTTCATGACTGCGTATTTGTTGATACGAAAGGAAAGGAAAGAAAGAGGAGAAAGGAAATTTAAATTATTCCTCGAAAAGATTTATGAGTGGCTTTGTGATATTGGATTGATCCAGTTAAGTTATTCGAATCGATGAAGGGGGATGAAGATGGTGGAAGTTTAAGAAGGCAGATTTCATCTCTGTCGTGCCTCAGAAAATTGTTCTGCTTTTTATCTGATATACATAAATTAGATGCTGAATGTTTTTTTCTAGGTGTTCATGAATTGCACTTTCTACTACTGAACAAGGATTCAAGAAGAAACGCAATTTGGTATAAAAACATTATTCATAAAATTGAACATCTTCGCTGTGTCCATTTGTGTTTAACTAATTTTGTAGAATGGGGTTGCTCCTCTGGAGGACAATAATTTCAAATGATTCTCTACTCGAACTTTGAGTCACTATATAAACAAGACAAAAAATCGTCTAAAAAGGGAGAACTGGTAACCCCAGCGATAATTATACAAGATTTCCAACGAGCTCATCGGACCTGGGATCCCGATTCTCATCCTCCTCGTTTCCTATCGGTGCTCCAGGCTTTCGCAGACAAACGCTCCCCTCGCCCTCGCCCGAGGACGAGTTTTCGCCATGTTCGCCGGAAATCGCCACCCCGCTGTCCTCGAAAACGGGACTCTGAAGTCCATCCCTTTCGCGGTGGTCTCGAGTCTTCATCCCTCTACCTCAAGGTTATTTCCACGAGAAACGCACCGTTCATGCCGGCCAAACTATCTTTTGTTTCTCATCGTTCCGCCCCCAACCTTTTTAACCGCTGCTGCAATTTATCGTTCGCGTTGCAAAAGACGGGAAACTGTTTCAGCAGCGCGTGGACACTCGACGGGGTGAATTTGCTGGTACTGTGAACACGGATCGATGTTTGGCATATTTTCACAGTGCGTTGATTAAACCCTGCTGCCCTGGACGGCTATTGGTATTCGATTAATTTGTTCGACGTATACTGCGACTGCACTAGCACGTCCATAAATGCAGCTCCGATAAATGTCGTTCCACCCCGAATAGATAATTTCTCGCGTTAGGTGTCAGGGAATTTGGCGAAATTGATACGTGACGTGAAATTAGGGGCGGTGGAGGGGTTTATGTCATCGTTTAGGTGAGTTTGAACGGGGTTAGGAAATGTGGGATGTTGAATTCAGCGATTTTGGATGTTTAAAAATTACGCTGTTTGAGGAGACATGAATTTTTATCTCTGAATCTGTCAACCATACTGAGTTGCTATTTTTTGCGTTCTTTGAGAATAATTAACTTTGTGAAATAAAATATTTTTCGGGCTGAAGAGCTATTCTCCTGAAGTGGGAAAAAATGGGGAAGTTATTATGACGAAAGAGGAATTTTAAAAATCTGAAAATAATCTTTTACCTTTTTCTACGAAATAAGGTTATTTCTAAGATGGACTGCAATTAGTATTCTTTTAAATAACAGACCTACGTGCTACAGAAAAATTCACAAACTTTTCCCCACAGTATGTAACAGCTATACGTGCTTTCGTTCCTCATATTTCGAGCTCGATTTCACTCCAGAGACTCGAGTTTCAGAGATAATTAATGTCTCCCTAGAAGAACACGAGGTTTGAAGCTTCTTCAACCTACTTAACAAAATTTCACGTGATATTTCACAAACGTTTCGTGATACTCGTTTTCCCCTTTGTACGATACTAAATAAAATATACATGTTCGAAATAAGTTGGGGTCTTTTGGTACTCTGAGGTCCGATGAGAACGAAGATAAAAGAGATTCCTCGTATCGATCGTTCCAAAACTACTACTTGAATACGTTTACTTCAAAAATTTGTCCAATGGAAGATCGATCGTCTCGAGACTATCCCAAAAATAGATTTACTCCGAAAATTCTTGTATACACTTTCGAATGAAGAGACGTCGCAGCTGAAGCTCGAAGTTAGACCCTGGAGACTGATGGTGTTGATACAATTCGTCAGAGAAATACCTCGGGATTTCGTGACGTTGAGAATACGGGATCTATTGGCGCGGGAATATGTTTGGAACTTTATTCTGGTCTCGTTGGGAGATTAAATTCTAGATCCTGGCGAGTAGAACGTGGTCACGCTGATAAAGTTGGAGGACCGAGTTTCTATTCTTTTAGTACCGAGGAAACTTTCCTGGTGCTGCTTTCCGTAAACCGAGTTGGGTGGACGCACTTCAAAGCAGAGCTGAATTTGCGACTAATGGTTGGCTTGGAGAACAGCGTTCCTCGACGTTAACCGTGTACCTACGAGAGGAGAAGCTAAGGAGAATATTTTCTCTTTTTCAGTTTTGGTAGTGCTAGTTCGCTTTCGTATTTTATTTTCATTGAATGAGGTTTCAGTCATATGAAAATCGAGAAGCAGAGTTATTGTGAAGTATTGTGAAAATCGAATTGATAGAGGAAGTATCCTTTAATCTATGTAATTTAAAAGGAAATAGATTTTTATTTTATATATAAAT